CTCCCCATCCAACCCCCCTCTCATTGTTCTCACTTACTTTCCCTAAAGCAGTTTTATCGGTGCTCTTTCCTTAGGAGCAGAGAGAACTTCCTACCAAACCCCTCAGGTGCCCACTGCGGCTAGTGAGTGGGGGTGTGGCCACCCCGCAGTCTCCTTCCTGCCGCCCGTTCTGGACTCCTTCCCCTCGCCTCTCGCCTAGGGGAGGGGCAGAGCCTGAGGGAGGAAGTGGGCAGAGGCCCCCCTAGTCACTGCAGGGATGTCTGTGTCTGAGTCCCGTCCCCCAGTGCTCTCTCGTCTACTCACTCCTGTGGGTCCCTCCGACCAACGGTCCAAACCTTTTCGTCCCACAGCCACTTCCTAAGGGCAGAGGGTTTCCTCTCTAAGGTCAAGGCCATCGCATGGAACTGACTTCCTGCCTCTACGCGCTTCTCTGAACTTGCACTCGCCCTGTCTCCTCTGTGGTACAGACAGAGCATCCTTCCTGCCCTCGCAGCCCCGCCCCTGGCTCCCCGACCACCTTCCGCAGGGACCCTGCTCCTCCCGAGCAGCTTTGCGAGGCAGGACCTGCAGCTGCGTCTCCCACCCTCCCGGGCGGTGATCAGCCTGGAGGTGACAGGGCTCAGCCTGCACACTCTCAGGGCATCGGCTGTGCCAACATGTGGCCACAGGAGGGACGCACTGTCCCCAGTTGCACCTCTGGCCCTGCTTCCTGAGCTGATGGGTGACCACCTTCCTGTGCCCACGGCAGAGAAGTGGGAAGTTCTATCTGCCCGGCTCCAGCCTCCTGCTCTCACGGGGGCATCTCCCCCTGTTAAAGCGAAGGCCCGGGCCCTCCCGGGCCCTCCCAGCCCCTCCTCACCGCCACTTTCTCGGGGGCACGCAGACCAGCGCTATTTACTTCCGGAGAAGCCAGGGGGACCCGGCCCCTCCCGCAGCTCATCGGGGCCTCTGATCCTCTGCATTAAAGCCAGTGCATTTGCCTCACACAGGACAGTGAATGCTTTACCTGAAGAGCAACAACTGCCCAGGTCAGCCGGTTGTAGCCCTGGAAAAACCCGTTCTGTGACACCAGCTCTCCGTCGTACACGTACACGCCCATCAAGCCAAACACGCTCCCAAAGAAGCCTGCAAGACGGGAGTATCAGAGATGTCTGGCCATTGCACATAACTTTATACTTTTCTTTTAAATTGTTTACTTGGACATTTATGTAAATTTAACAAAAGTGCGCTTAGTGCTATGAATATAAGAGGAAGACGTGGGAACAGAAAAAGAGCAGTGGTGACGGACCTACATCTTAGAGCATTAACACAGATAATGCAGAATCACATGACTGCACGGCTGCCCCTGTGAAGAGTTGGAAAATGCTCGCTTTGGGCACATGTCAGTGCATCTGTGCCTTCCTGCAGCCAGACACAGACTTTCATGTATTCACACGCACCTGCAGGCATACACGCTCATGTGTGTGGCCTGCACTCTTCCTTCCTTCGCAGGAAGCGGGAAGGGTCAGTAAGTAACAACAGAAAATCAGCGCTGAGACGCAGTCATGGGCCTCGCTGCCGAGGCCTCGGGAGGGAAGGTCACTCAGGACAGCAGGTGCCTCACTCACTGCACCCCTCCCCCTCCCTGCCCTCCCCCATCCCCCGCAGAGCTGCCCAGGACCTGATCTCAGAGGTCCCCAAACCTCCTCGGGGAGTGGAGTTCAGGGAGCCTGTAAGGAATGAGCCGTGCGTGAGGACAGCAGTGTTGATAAAGCCGTAAGTAGCCACTGTGTTCCACGGGAGGGGACTGGGGGGAGGGGAGACCATCTTCCCAAAATTGCGTTTTGCCAACTCCATCCTAACATCTCTCATTTCGAACTCGAAGATAACACTGGCATGCTACAAAATGACAGAAATCAGTGCTCGCACAGGTACGGCCTTGTATTAGAATCACACTGGGTAATTACTAAAGTGCATCAAATGCAGAAGGGTACATCTGCAGCAGTATGTGCAGATCTGCAGTCTTCTATCCGTTGCATAGTTGTCCATTGTATGAACAATAACATGAAATGCACATATAACACGAATTGTCCTGGGTGATTTACGCGTGTGAACTCACAACAAACCTACGGGGTAGATAGTCTTGTCCATTTTACAGCTGGAGAAACTGGGCCACAGAGATGCTAAATAAACCTGCTGAGCTCACGCGGCAGCTAAGGGACGGGCTCAGGACTGGGTCCCCGCCGCGGCCAGGAGACACGACCTTGACCACTGCACCAGGTGACCCCTGACAATTACTAACCAGCCTTCTCCACCGTCCATCTTACAACGGAACCAATGCTGAATGAACAGCCTGTCTTCCCGGTCTTGTGCAGGCCCAGCTGTAGCATCAATCCTCCGCCAGACGTGGAGTTTTACATCACTGACTTTATTTATTTAAAATTGTGTGAAACACTCCCAAACTGGGATCCAACAGGTTATACCAATCTGCGTGTTTGGAAAAGGATACAGTGCTTTCATTCATGGTTTGTAATTCCAAGCTCTGTACTGATCTACGTGTCCTTTTAAGACCTCAGCCAGCTCACCACTGGATTGTGTGTGAGGTCAGAGCAATGAACAGAAATCCATGAAGTTCCACAGAATCATCCATTCGGAATGATTTCCATGTTTCATTTATAATTCAAGAAAATTGTGGGCAACTCACACAAACCTTGCCTCTTTCTCTCTCCTGATATTTGCGTGTTGATGGCAACAGCTGACATCAGGGCCTACTGCGTGCAAGGTATTTATCCCCAACTCTTCACATGCATTTTCTCATCTAATCCTCAGAGCAACATACAAAGCTCTGTAAGTACAGTTCACAGGAGAGGAAATATATATGTTTTGGCAACATCTTCCGGGAAAAACGCAGCCACATTCAGGCCCCAAACGCTGAGGACAGAAACAGCCTCCACCCACCCTTCGTCACAGACCTCAAATCCCACATTCCTGAGTAAAAGGCAGTCATTTAAAGTACAACCTTTTTAAAGGGCCAAAACCTTGCCAGGTACTTGGATCAACAGCAGTTTCATGAAAGGCTTGTTTACTTGAAGATCTATAGAAATCTTTAGATGTAACAATATAACCACCTTAAAAAGTCACATTAGCAAAGACTTCAGACTTACCCAGTTGAATGTTTCTGATCCACACCGACTGCTTGGTTTCTTTTAAGATTTTCTCGAAGTACACCCCCGCGAAGCCACTGGAAAAGCAGGCCGTGAGGACGGCCATGAGGCCCACGAACTGCGAGCCGGCCGAGAGCGCCTTCGAGTCCAGCTCCGGGGTATCCGAGGGCCACTGGGCGAAGGAACACAACGCAGTTCAATTCCTGCGCAGCTCCCTGTGCACAGAGCCCCGCTCAGACCCGGAGGCGAAAATGCCACCACGCTAGCCCTGGGGCTGCAGAGGAGCTTCTGAAAGACAACCTTAGAACCGTCTTACTTCATCCCACAGCGGTATGACTGTGGCGACTTCTAGTCTCAGCCTAGCCCAGTGGTCGGCAAACTCATTAGTCAACAGAGCCAAATATCAACAGTACAACAATTGAAATTTCTTTTTTTTTTTTTTTTTGAAATTTCTTTTGAGAGCCAAATTTTTTAAACTTAAACTATATAGGTAGGTACATTGTTATTAACTTAATTAGGGTACTCCTAAGACTTAGGAAGAACCACACTCAAGGAGTCAAAGAGCCGCATGTGGCTCGCAAGCCGCAGTTTGCCGACCATTGGCCTAGCCTGAGAGAGAGAAAGGGACAGACTGCGGCGGCTCAGAGCGGCCTCTCCAAGCACTGCGGCCGCCGAGACCCGGAGTGTGAAGTGTGGAGTAGCTAAGGGAGCCTGGGGCTGCCCTGCACCCCGGCCCTGATCACCATCCACCATCTGGGCTGCACCCTGCCCTCAGCGCTCCTGAGACCAGTTACTTGCCTATGGTCTTGTTTTGTTTTGTGTTGTTAATCCTCACCTGAGGATATTTTTCCATTGACTTTAGAGACTGGGAGGGACAGAGAGAGACACACACACATTGATGTGAGAGAGACACAGCAATTGGTTGCCTCACACACACGCCCTGTCTGGGGCTGGGGATTGAACCTGCAACCCAGGTACGTGCCCTTGACCAGAAATCAAACCCAAGACCTTTCCGTGCGTGGGCTGATGCTCTAACCACTGAGCCCCCAGGGCACTTGCCTTCATCTTTAATGTCTCTGTCAAAACCATGTTCCACCTAGATTCATTACTTGATATTTTAATTTAAAATATCTCACTTTTTAAACTGAGTATCTACTTTAGCCTATCCTCGTGTTCGGCAAACCGCGGCTCGCGAGCCACATGCGGCTCTTTGGCCCCTTCGGTGTGGCTCTTCCACAAAATACCACGTGCAGGCGTGCACATACAGTGCGATTGAAACTTCGTGGCCCATGCGCAGAAGTCGGTATTTTGTGGAAGAGCTGGTATTTTGTGGAAGAGCCACACTCAAGGGGCTAAAGAGCCGCATGTGCCTCGCGAGCCGTGGTTTGCCGAGCCACAGTTTGCCAACCACTGGCCTATCCTAAGCAGTATCTGTGAAAATAAGGGTGTGACAGCCAGTTGTATTTTCCAACACCCATCCTATATAATAGAGAAACATGCAAATTAACCGTCCCTCCGCTACGCTCAAGCCATGCCCACCAGCCAATCAGGAGCGAGTATGCAAACTAACCCAACTAAGATGGCGGCGGCCACGGAGCTGGAGCGAGCAGGAGGCTTGGGTTGC